GTGGAAGTGGCATCTGACGATCGAGCTGTATATGGACCAGATTCGGGCCGTGGAAGCGGGCGTATACTGGGCCAGAACAAAACAAGTATGTGGCCCAACCGTGGGCCGGATTTAATTTGCTACCTGAGAAACTGTTGGTCATTTCATGAGATTTATCATTTTTATTTAACATTTCTAGCTAATAGCAGCGTAGCATCGGAGCATGAACTGAGGAAATCTGAAATATCTCAGATTAAAGTCTAAAATATTGACACCTTTTTTTTTCACTACAAACTCTAATGAATGAATTAATGAATTAGTTCACTAACTACCTGGTTTATTGACTGACTGGATGACTGACTGAGTGGACGGCTGACTGACTGTCCACGTTGTGAACCAAATATTCACACAGTGCTGCCCAGCACAGTGAAGAGCTGAGATTTACCTCCAGGCCTCCACTGAACTAGATCAATCAGATCTGCTTTGTCAAGGAGAGAGGGGTGGGAGGGAGGGGGTGCATAGTGAGAGAGAGAGAGAGAGAGAGAGTGAGAGAGAGAGAGACAGAGAGAGAGTGAGAGAGAGAGACAGAGACAGAGAGAGAGAGTGAGAGAAGAGACAGAGAGAGAGAGAGAGAGAGGGGAGAGAGAGAGAGAGAGAGAGAGAGAGAGAGAGGGAGAGAGAGAGAGAGAGAAAGAGAGAGAGAGAGAGAGGGTTGGTGGTGGAGAAAAGAAAAAAGAGAGAAGAAGAAGGAATAATGACAGTGAAGAAATAGAAACTCGTTATCCTTTGTCACCTTCATCTCTCCTCCTCTTCCTCTTCCACAGTCATTAACCAGAGACATTAACACAAAGTATGACATCCTTATTCACACCAATAATACTTACATTTTATATTATATAATATATGTTTATCTCATGTGAGTGTCACAGTAACAGTTGTGTTGCCTCTCCTTGACACTGTCAGTGGCGTCAGTGGATGAGAGGAAGTCACATGCTTTTCTTCTCAGGCCAAAGCTGAAGTCTCATCTCTGATGTTTTCATGTTAACCTGCAAATAATTAAGAAACATTTAAAAAGTTATGTCTTGCACTGATTCTAGATCAGCTGTTGATCTGGGACATTGACCAACATCACAGAGACAGACTGAGTCTAAACTCATCTGTTGCACAAAACAGTTCAATTCTTGACAGCCGTAAGACGAACTGTGGTACAATGAATTCTGGGTAAATTAAGACTTTTTCAAAATTTCAAAATTTGCCAACTGAGGAAACGCATCCAACCTCTCAGCTCCGTTACCACAGAACAATAAAAAGACAAATAAGATTTTGGCCTCTAAAAAAACTCTTTCCCTTCTCTTTGCTCTCTCCATAACAATGTTAGCAAATAAAATCATGTCTTGTGCGGTCACCATGCCCCTTGACCTTTGACCCCCAAAATATAATCAGTTTGTCCTTGAGTCCAAGTGAACGTGTGTGCCAAATATGAAGGGAATCCCTTGAGGAGTTCTTCAGATATTGTGTTTACAAGGCCAAAATCATGTTTTTTGAGGTCAACATGACCTTCACCTTTGACCTATGACCTTTAGCCACCAAAATCTAATCAGTGTGTCCATGAGTCCAGGTGAATGTTTTTACCAAATTTGAAGAAGTTCCTTCAAAGTGTTACAGAGATATTTCAATCACAAGGACAAACCTGCGTGTTGTGAGGTCACCACGCCCATGACCTTTGACCTTTGACCACCCAAATCTACGCAGTTAGTCCTTGAGTCCGAGTGAATGTTTGTGAAAAATTTGAAGACGTTCTGTCAAGGCGTTATTGAGATATTGTGTCCACAACAATAGGACAGACGGACAACCTGAAAACAATATGCTCTCGCTGGCGCCGGTGCGGAGACATGACGACTGATCTGGATCTGGATCTGGATCTGGATCTGGCTCTGGATCTGGCTCTGGATCTGGATCTGGATCTGGATCTGGATCTGGAGGATTGGTGGGAACACTGATATCAGTGGTATGAAAGAAGACGCTGTGCGGCTCTGTGTTTCTTCTTCGGTCTGAGGTTCAGCTGAGGATGCGTTGCGGCTGCAGTGTCAACATGCGGACGAGATCTCACCGTCTGACCTTTGCAGCAAACGACTGAATGTGACAACGTGCTCATGAGAAGTCTGAGAAAATGAACCGAGGCGGCGCCGGAGGTTCTCTTTACGAAAGGTCACTGCTGCCCACCGGTGCGAGCAGTCGCAGTTTTACTAAGAAGTTTGTGTCCCGACGAAATGTTTCCAGATGCCGATAATGCGAAGTGAACCACAGTGATCCATCAGTGGTGATCCAGGCTCCTCTGTTGTTGCAGTGCAAGTCAAAGTAATACTCATTTATATTTATATATTTCACAGCTGTTATGATCTGCCTTCAAGTGACTTCCTGTTTTATTTTGAAACCACTTTCCTTAGGTGCCTTAGGTGTCCTCTGTGATTACCTGTTAATGTGTTGCACCTGTGTCTTTTACCTGTTGTGTGTATCTAGTGCGTGTGTTCCCCTTCGCTCTGGTTTTGTTTCTGTTGCCTTTAACCAGAGGTCTGATCGCCAGACTCTTTCCCGCCTGTTCTGCTACTCACAGTTTGTTCTTCCGTCTGTCCACCTGTTTTTCTTCCATTAAAGTACCTTCACTGCACCTGCCTGTCCAGGTGTGTGTCACCATCAAACTAAAACAGAAACTTGTTCGACTCAGTAGATGCTTTTGTCCCTGTGAGGATCCTGTAGGAGTGATGACTCAGTTTTTCCAGTGATCTGATTGGTCAGTAGTTTGGCTGTTGACAGGTTTTTGATCTGCTCCTCTGTTACCTCGGTAACTTCAGATCTGCTTCATCATACAGAGCCTCTGGTTGAGTGACACCTTACACATAATTATCTGATCAATTGCTCACCTGAAATTTCAATTTCAAACATTTTTATTTTAACAAATGAGAACCAGTTTTAATCTAATATCAGCTCATCATCCAGCATCAAACCCACGTGTTTCATATCACAAACACACACTGAGTCGGAGTCATGTCTGCACTGAGAGAAATGCTACTGCCTCAATACTTAATGCCACTAAACTGAAGCCTCATTAAGAACAGAGTGTGGTGAGGGCGTTGAACAGCCATGTCTCCAGCCTGACTTACTGTCTCAGGTTGGGCGGCACTGAACGGATTAAGTTTATACGCTGCCAGCTTATGTCGTGGGCTGCGAGTCGCTGGTGAGTCGAGGCTGTGGGAATGTTTAACGCAGGAAAACACAGCTGTGGTACAGTCCCAGCAACTTTCAAATGAAGCTATGTGTTAGCATTAACCTAAGCAGGAAATATGGTTGACAGAGAAAACCCTGTTTTGTGAGGTCACAGTGACCTTGACCTTTGACCCCCCCCCCAAAATCTAATCAGTTCATCCTTGGGTCCAAGGGAACGTTTGTGCCAAATTTGAAGGAGTTCCTTCAAGGTGTTGCAGAGATATCGTGTCCATGAGAATGAGACGGACGGACAATGGAACAGGTATTGTGTCCTCAGCAGTGTGATGTCATCGACGTGACGGCTGAACGTTACATTCGTGTTCTGTCAATAAAATCAGACCTTCCGGCTCAATTAAAAACCAGTCAAAGTGTCCTCGTTCCAGACAGCAGAGCTCCAGGACAGCTCCAAATGTCAGGACGATGAAGACGTGTGTGAGAGGACACATGTATGTCCGTGCACTGCAAAAACATTATTCCACTGAAAGTTTCTAAACTTCAACAAAGTGAGAAAACTTTCTCTTAAAAAAGGTTTTTCACGCTTATTATTCTTTTTAATTCACATCGACTCCATTCACTTTAGCGTGGCCTTGTGAACGCGATATCTCCGTAACGCCTCGAAGGAACTTCTTCAAATTTGGCACAAACATTCAATTGGACTCAAGGACAAAATGATTTGATTTTGGTGGCTAAAGGTCAAAGGTCAAGGTCACAGTGACATCAAAAAAACACTTTTTAGCCAAAACAAAATTTCACACAAATGTTTAATGTTTTTCTATGACTCTGGATAAACAGGGATTTCATCCGAAACTAGTCAGAGTTCTGGAGGCGGACAACCACGAGGCGGTGATTGTAGTTTTACAGTGTACGTGTGTGTGTGTATTAGAGCCTGCAGTCATGTAAATGCCACGCAGCTCTGCACGGCATCGGTCACAGCAGCCGGAGCAGAAGCTGATCACTGGCATTTAGACTGTGCTACTGATTATGTCCAGCTTCAGATTCAGGATGTACAGTGCCGTCAGCTCTTTCTCTTGATTTGTGAAAGACAGATGAAACCTGGTCCGAGCGTCCAGCTCTAGAAGAGTCCTGGTTGTTCCAGACTTCTTCATGTCAGAACGATAAAGTGACGTTTTAATAACATTCAAGATTGATTGATTTTCAAGGAATCAGCAGCTTTGAAAATAAATCTTTTCCCTAACAAAATAATCAATAATAATAACTATTTTTTTCTGAAAAAATCTAGTTTAAAGCACAGCTTCAGTGCATTACACATCTTTTGAACTTCCCTCCAAAAGGCTGACACAACATAATACCTGAACAGATAAACTGCTGACTCAGATTTAAACAAAAACAATATATCTTTTTTTATTCCACACATTCTCGTCAAAACCTGGTGCCTGCTTTTCCCACATTTCAACTTGCTCGATTCACTTGACTGTTCATCATCCTGTGTCATGTGACACACGCATACATACACACAGATACACACAAACACATCGCAGAGAGGATGCTTTTAAAATGAAAGGATTCACTACTTCCTGTCATTATATTGTGATGAATAAAGAGACTCTCTGGTCAGTTCCACCTCCAGAGCTGATGTGCAGTTTGAACTGAAGAGAGGAAAAATATATTCTTCAGTATAAGAAGCTGAAATTTCATCCTGTCACATGTTCTCCTGTCCTATATTCTTCTTTCTTCCTCCTCTTTCTCTCTGTACTCTCATCTTATTTCCTCTCTCCTTTCCTCTCTTGTCCACTCAGATCCAGGAAACTCCCTGTCCAGAGTCTCCTCTTCTTCTTCTGCTGGGGACAGCAGCACTAAGCATCTGCTGCAGAAGAAACAACACACCAGCAGCAGCCTGCTCTGTAACCCACACGTCTCCTCCTACGGTCCAGCTCCACGCTCTCCCAGCACTTTACCTCGAAGCTACGCCGCCGCTACTGGTGCCAGCAGCAGGGACAGCCAGCTGGACAGCCTGATGATGCAGCACTCGGAGGTGGAGAGAAAGAAGGAGGTGTTTCTGGACCACCTCAGGCAGAAGTATCCTCACCATGCTGCCATTATCATGGGACACCAGGACCACATGATGGAACAGGTGAGATTTGAAGCTGTGCTTTGTGCATCAGCTGCTAGTGTTGAACAAAAACACTGTGGAGCAGGGTGGTGCTGATCTCGGTTGACTTTCTCTCCACAAATAAAGATGTAACATCAGATCCAAAGCATGTAATGGCACCTAACAATACTGCACTGCTAAAGGAGAAAGCACTGCTCTCAGAGATGCATGTTTAAGTAAAGATTTTTAAGAAGTTTTCCCTCCGACTGAATAACGTGTCTCTAGATGCTAGTGAAAGTTATTCACAGGGTGCAGACTCCCCCCAATAGGCATCTTTAAAGGATAGTGAGTTTCTATATTTTGTTATTATCAATAAATCCCATTATCTTGAACTTCTACTGCTGCATCATTGACAGCATCATCAACAACTACATCTCACTATGGTTTGGCCACTGACCACCAGGCTCTCCAGATGTCACTCTAATAATAATAATAATAATAAAAATAATAATAATAACTTTATATATATACACCACTTTTCATACAAGAGATGTAGCTCAAAGGTGCTTTACAATAAATAAAAAAAACAATCAAATGGTACAATAAAATGAGGATGGATTGAAGGACAATGAAAATAGACAATAGAAAGACAATAATAATAATAATACATTTTATTTGTATAGCACATTTCATACAAGAAATGCAGCACAAATTGCTTTACAAAAAGGAATGACATGTACCAAGTGCTTCACATGAAAAGAAAAGACATAAAATGAACATAAAACATTTTTTAATGTTTTTCATTTTAGATCAAATTTGATCTAAAATGAAAAACATTAAAAACATGAATGTAAAATGAGATTAATAACTGATAACTGAATAACAGCAGAAGAAAAGTAAACTGGGGAACAAACAAACGCAGAAACTTTTCGTACCTGTGACGGTTTCGGAAAAAACGGACGAACAGAAAACGGGGCGTGGAGGGAAAAACCAGAGGTGCGCACATCTGTCTGCTTTAATGCACTGCGCACATACGGGCATTTCGGCCGAAAGCCGCCAGCTTTACTTTAAATATGGAAGACAAAAAGCAGGAAGGTCGCAGTTGTCCCATGCCTGGCTCTGAGAACAGTCCACGGTCCAAACACTCTGAAACTCCCACCAGGCTTTATACGCTGTCTGCACGAAGAAATCAACTGCCCCGGTACCGGAGGTAAGTCCGACAGAGTCGGAGGCTTTGAATTTACCTTCTCAGCAAAGTGGTTCGAGTGTTGTTTGGCCGCTGTGGGACACCGTAGTCTGAGGTGTGTTTCCGTACGGAACGCCATCTTTGTTTAATGTTTTCTTGTCTCATGGTACAAGATAAGCAGTGCTAACAGCAGCCTGCATCATCTTACAATAACTTCATTTAAACCACACTTCCAGTCTTTCTGTTAAAACTGTGTGTAAACAACATGTTACTTAACAGTTCGCCATGGCTCTGAGACGTGAGTGGTTGTATTTCCTGTTGTTCGTAATATTAGCTAGCCGGCTAGCTTTCTGTGCTTCACCGCAGCGGTTGATCAGTGGAAACAGTGTGGGATGTCTGAGCTGCTTGGTTACAGGTAGGCATGTTATTCATCTGCTAGTTACTTTAGCTCAGCAGTTAGTGATGGCTTACTCTTTCATCCCCGAGCGCAGTGTAGCCGCTTACAGCAGGTCTGGGCTGGACAGGTAACAGGTGTGTTTACAGTGTCTGTGCTCTGAAAGACGTGACAGCAGGAAAGGGGTGAAAATTAGCGGGTTCACCCGGGTGTTTATGGAGTTTATTTCCTATCTTTATTCAAGAGCGTGGTATATCAATTTGAGGGCATGATTTATTGATTTCACGTTTAGATGGCTGTTAGCATTAGCAAGCTGCTAGCTGCCATTCTGCATTCATGAATGAATTAAATAATAATAATAATAATAATAAATAAGAAAATGTAAAAAAATAAGTGCCTGAATACTTTTCAAATGCATTGTATGTCTAAATGATTGATCTGTCAAACACACATTTCTTCTTACTCTTTCCTAACAGGTGCTTCCCACCAGGAAGTTTCTCTAAGATGAGGTGTAATGTATACTACCTACACTTATATTCAAGCACGATAACTCGTTTTGGCTGAAAAATTGTAAGATGTCATTAAATGCACATTTACAGTGACCTGCATGATCAGTTTAATTGATTCTTTATGAATCAACATCTTTTCTAAATTATAACACTGAGTCCAATGTCCCAACATTAACAATGTTATTATCAACGTTAATATTTATCTTTATTTTAAGTCGTCTCTGATTGGATATCTTTAATTTAGTTTTACTTTGTTATAGTACATGAACCTTGGAACCTTTCTTTCACTTATTTAGTATATATTGTGCATTATGACATATTCCTTACTATTACCACCTGTAAGAGATGAGTTGGCTGTTCCAGTGACTGTACAGGACAAATGAAGATAACTGAGTGTAGCCTACATGTAGAAAATACCAATTATGCTGTAAACAGCAAATGGACTGAATGATTACAATAAACTCAATGGTAAAGAAATGACAGCAGGTATCTCTTTACAGGTTGTATGGGTATGAAATGTGGTCTATTTACAATGAGTCTTCAGTATGGGATGTCAGAACCCTTCTTTCATTCAGTCTGCAACATGACTGATTACTGTCACCCTGGCAACGGGTTCCGGTTTAGTAGTTGACGTTAGCGTAGCCTGCTTATTAACAATGAACAATAAAATTGTAATATGTCATTTCTTAACAAAACAAATATCAACACCAAAAGCCAAACTATCAGAGACTTTAACCAGGTTCTGTCATTTAATTTCTTACAACCGTTAACGTAGCGCACGTGACTTGTCGCCGATTATTTGATGAAATACAACCGCTTTAAAGAAGACTGCGTGCTCTTACTTTGAAAAGCGGAAATGGCGGCGTCAGCAGGCGATCACTTTTTTCCGATTCAAGTTCATTTTCGTTCATACCGGCAGGTTTGTCTCAAAACTCTGTGTAAAAGGTAAATCCACAAGCGAAGAGGAAAGATTGATCCAAAAATGTTTGTTTGAAAGATGTAAATATTAGGAAGATATTCACTAATGCTTTTGATTTATTTGTAAATTAATTATTCTGTATTCACAGATATATTTTTATTTTGAAATTTGTTTTTAGATCCGTTATATATTTGCAAGATATTTTAGTGAGTTTTTAAATGTATGTTTTGTATTTGTGGAGGGTGTTTTATATTTACAGATCACACATAAATAATATTGAGAAAAAATCTACCTCCATACTCATCCCTCTTTCTCTTCACCTGCACAAGGTTTCACATCTCATTTCCCCTTCTCTCCTTCATTCTCTTCCTCCCTTTCTCTGTCCTGCACTTTCCATATTTCTGTACTATAAACATGTACATGTTTACACACCAGCATCACATATACAGTGGTTATATTAAAATATATTATAATCTAATCTAATATCCTAATGGGGGGGGGGGGGGTGTCGTGACTCACTGTAATAATGATATGTGTGGTGTCATAAAGTTGTCAGCTTGGACTGCTCTGCTCGTCAGACAGGTAAATCCAGCATTATTTACTTAGGTGGAGTTTTGTTGTAACAGCAGCAGACAGACGCAGACACAGACACAGACACCTGTGGGTTTTCACCTGCACCTGAGAAACTCGCTACAGTCACAGACACAGACCGAGATAACGACTTTGAGACCGGGTTGAAGTGCAACTGAAGCATCGGAGCTTCATTTTACCTGTAAAAGTAAAACACTGAGTAGCGGGTCCAGCTGAAAACCTCCTCCCTCCAAGGTAAGAACCTGAACCTGGTTCGATATAACTTTAACCAAAACTGACTGAAAGTTATTTATTATTATTATTATTTATTTATTTTATCACTAGTTGAATTTAAGTCGTTCAGAAACTAACCAGCAACCAACCCACGCCTGGTTCCGTCTGCACCGGACCAACGAGCTGCTCTGTCAACACCTCGTTCTGAGGCGTGTGGCGCCAAACTCCATCCAAATTCTGTCCGTTTTTAGGTTGTCATCGTTGGTGACGGTTATCCTCAGCAGACACGGTAAAACTAGAGGCAACAGACGACGTGTCAGGGTCCAGTCCTCCGTCCGGCGCCAGTTTCATCCACCAAACACCTTTACTTCAATCAGATTTCTCTCTGTAGTTGAGGAGTTAGCACCATGGAGGTGAACCGTGAGCTACATGTAAAACGTGATGTTTAACGGAAGTAACCTGGGACCATTGGTGGACAGTAATGACGTATATTGACTTGAGTAATGTACTTAAGTATCTGTACTTTACTGGAGTATTATCTTTTACTCCACTACACTTTAAAAGACACATAGCCTATTGTACTTTTCACTCCACTACAGTTCTATGAAGTGCTCTTATTTTGAAGCAGCCTTTTAGTCTGTGGAATGAAAGTTTTTATTTTGAAAATGTGATAGACCATACACAACCAACTCCTTCACGGTCAGTCATGTTGTGCTTGCTGCGTTTGAATTTTTTGAACAGTTCAGTTTGAACCTAGCAAGTTCATATGGAAGCCTGTTTCCCGCCAGTGAAAGAAAATAAATATCCCAAAGATCAAAAATATGAGATAAAAGTCATAATTATGACTTTTTATCTCATAATTATGACTTTCATCTCATATTTTAGATAAAAAGTCGAAATTATGAGATAAAAGTCATAACTATGAAATAAGAAAGTCATAATTATGAGACAGAAGTCATAATTGTGAGATAAGAAAGTCGAAATTATGAGATAAAAAGTAATTATTGTGAGATAAATGTCTTAATTATGAGATAAGAAAGTCGAAATGTCGCAAAACTATGAACTTTGGGTAATTCCCTCAGGCGAAGTCTGCAGAAACGTGGACTTACAGAAAGTGTGCATAATAGAGGGTCTGTGAGGGGGGACACTGGGATTGGGCCCTTGACTGGAGTCCACCTGTAGTGAACTGAGCTGATTGCACTGATTTTAGAAAGACTTGACACCTGTGCATATCAGATCTCTCGGTTCACCTGACCATGAAGTCCAGTGACCTCTCTGTAGACCGCACGTGTAATGATTATACTTCTACCTGCTGAACTGCAGGTGTAAGACTAAGTCTCGCGCCGCTGGTCTGACTCATGTTTAGTGGCTCCAGCTCTGGTCCACGTGACGCCGCTGAAAACCATCATTAGTCCTGCTTTGAGATTACAGTGATCCGTCACCGTCCCTCAGGTCTGTAATTAACAGTCCTCAGAACCTCCGTTGTCTTTTTAAGGCGGGAACAAACAGCGTCAGAAACACTTAACACTCGAACGTACAACCGTGTGTGTGTGTGTGTGTGTGTGTGTGTGTATGTCTGTCTGTGCAGGCAGTATTTTGTTTGTCACTTGTAACGTAATAGATGGATTTGACGTGTCATCACACCCACTATGATGGAAGCTCCGCCCTCACCACAGGTACATCATCGCATGGCGTACAAATGTTCCCTTGTACTCAAGGAAGAGCTGATTAGTTTTTTGTGGTTAAAGGTCAAAGGTCAGTGTGGCGTCACAAAACACTTTAGCCATTACGCATGACTTTTTTTTCACACAAGTGGTTCATATTTTATATGACTCATATCCACTGGCTGAAAGTATAAAATAAAAGGAGAACAACGAACAAACTCGAATAAATAGTCAGTGATTTCACCTGATAAAGAGACAGGTGTGCTGAGCTGTGGACCTGCTCTGACTGTAGGATGGAAATCCATGAAGTGTTTCTCTGACGCCTGAAAGCAGCGGAGGAAGTTTCTCTCTGAAAGACTACAGTCTGCTCTTTTCTTCTTTGTCATTTCATCCAGGTGAGGAGTCTGCAGCCCTCTGAGAGCCCCCTCTGTGCAGGTGAGCTGGGCCTGGTGGAGCAGCAGGACCCTCTAGCTTCAGAGACCATGTCCGAAGGAGAGGTGCTGCCCCCCGCAGTCCCCTTTTCAAGGGGCTGTAAAGCCAGAGCAAGTCTACCTGTGGGTCGCTCGAGTGGTCAGACCAGAGAGAGGCCGCTTGGTAGGTAGACACACACACACACACACACACACACACACACACACTTACACACACACACACAAATTTTAGAATTAATTAAATAGAACTTAGGAACTGAGCAAGAGATCAGAATAAATTATATTCAGACATAAGTCTATAGTTTCTTGTCATGTTTAGTGCTTCACACAACAGGAGGGGGATTTAGTGAAATGACATTTATGTTTAGACTCTGTCTTTGGATTCAAAGACAATAAATCTATATTTATTGATTTGGGCTTCAGTTGATCAGACAAGGATTTCCATCAGTTCTGGATCGAGTCACAAACATAAAACAGTTTCTGTTGTTTCTACATTTACCTTGTTTCTGCGGAGGTGAAACTACAACGGTGCATCGCTGCACCAAGGAATTGTGGGACGGTATTTTCTCCTTTTCTTTCCTAAAGGAAGCTCCAGTGTTTCCTAAGTTAAAGGAGATAAGACCGGAAGCACTGAAGCTCCTTGCCTCATCAGTTAGAGAAGTGGAGCAGCTCTGATAATGGCCGCCGCTCAGATACTTGAGTTTGAACCTTCCTATGTGATGTCAGTATCATCACACTGTCCACTGTGTTCAGGTGTGTTGTACCTGCAGTATGGGGAGGAGACCAAGCAGGTGAGGATGCCGGCTGACATCAGCAGTCAGGACGCCCTGTGGGCGCTGTTCGTCACCGCCTTCCCCCATCAGCTCACCATGAAGATGCTGCAGTCTCCCAACATGGCCATCTACATCAAAGACACCAGCCGCAACGTCTACTACGACCTGGACGACATCAGGTGAGCGTCTCGATGAAGGAATCAGCAGTTCATCTGATGTATGCTGACGTGTGTCCTCACAGATCCCTGTGTTTGCTTCTAGAAACATCACACCCCACTGCTGTCTGAAGGTTTATCATAAAGACCCAGCACAGGTGTTCATCCGCCACACCAGATCTGCCAGCACGGAGGGGAGGGTGAGTCCTCACCTTTCATGTCCTCACCCTTTAAGTCTTCACTTTTTAGCCATAACTCGAGACTCCACACAGAAATTATGACAAAATTTCACACAAATAGTTAATATTTTATATAACAGGGATAAACAGGGATATGACCTGAAACTAGTCCCAGTGGCGGAGGGATACAACCACCAGGCGGTGATTCTAGATTCTATGTGACAGAGAATCAAAACAAGAAATCTTCAAACTTTCTTTTCCATGTTTTCTTACAAGATAAAAAATAACGAGCTGAGCCACAAACACTTGAACGCAACAGCTCAGAGTCTTTTTGACTCTGGATAAACAGGGATGTAACCTGAAACTAGTCCCAGTGGCGGAGGGATACAACCAAGTGAAGGTGATTGTAGTTTTCATGTGTTTTTGTACAGATTAAACAAACGAGACACGAATTGTTAATCAGTGAGTTTTAAAGATGCTGGGAGGTGGACTTTGTCACCACTGGACAGGCTAACTGTTTCCTCCTGCTTCCAGTCTTTATGCTAAGCTAAGCTAATATCCCGCATGAACACGGACATGACCCATCTGAACAGCTCACTCTGGGAGAAAAAAGTAGACCCTTGTGTTTTCCAGCTTGTTGACCTGCTCCTCACTAAAGTGTGAGGTTTGATGTGCAGATGATTTACATGCTATCCGGAGGGTGAGTCTGGGACGGACCAGCGGTCGGTTAACATTCAGCAGATGGTGTTAACACGCAGTGTGTTGTATCACAGAGGAGTTTCCCCCTGAGCTGAGCTCCGCACATGACCCTGAGACAAGACACTGTGTGACTGTGCAGGAGTGATACGAGGAGACACAGGTTCAACAAGGCCACAGTAAACATGTTGTACCCCCCCCCCATAAATGATGCAGTCCCCTCTGGGCCATTCAGCAACAAATATGTCATCTTGTTTTGACCCATAATTATAACACCCCCCCCCACCCCACACCCCCGAGCGCACCAGAGTCATGCTGGAGACGTGGCAGCACCGTGTGGAGATGCATCGCTTCCCCCAGTCTGAGAATCCAGATAACATCCACTGTGTTTTCTGGGGTGTTACAGCCACTGTGGGCCGATCACATTCAGCTACATGAGACATGACAGATCGGTCCCTCTGGGATTTCACAGGCGTTTTTTTGGGGGTTCTTGCAGCTAAAATACCTGCAGCTTTGCTGCAGCTTTTCTTAAAAATTGTGATGCACGTTGCGATGTTTTTAGATGCAGGAGAAACAAGCGATCAGGCTCCTCTGCTCTGTCTCGGTCACAGGTCGAGCTGCTCTTTATAATAACCTCGTCACTTTATGAGTTTATAACGTAGAGCCACGATTTCTGTCTATGAAGCAGTTTCATCAGAGGCTACCGGCAGCTGCCGCCATCTTTTAAGGTGGAATGTTTTCTTTAGTGTTACTTGATACATGATTGACGTTTGGAAATCAATCAATACACCTTAAATATCAACATGACTTGGACCATGTGTTTTTATCAGCTCTCTTCATGACAGACTCTTCAGTGATGATCGGATCTTCAAGCTCTTCAAATGTAGATAAACATCAACGTGATCATGTGACTGTAGATATTTTATTTCCTCTGGAGAATAAAAGGAGTGGAGCGTCGTTCCATCTGCCTCCTCAGCACAAATCCAGATCCATCAGACAGATAGATAGACAGATAGATAGATAGATAGATAGATAGATAGATAGATAGATAGATAGATAGATAGATACTTTATTTATCCCCCAGGGGAAATTCATAACCAGGTCTTCAGCTGTTCGGTGTTGGTGAGACTCATGTTTTTGTTCTTGGAGACAGGAAGTGGAACCTGACGTGTCTTCTGCTGTTGTTCACTTTTTCAAAATTCATGGGGCTGAGTGCTATGATGGCGTGTGTGTGTGTGTGTGTGTGTGTGTGTGTGTGTGTGTGTGTGTGTGTGTGTGTTTGCGTGCTGAGTCTGGAAGCTGAAGTGAAAGCCAGTCGGCGCTGAGTCACAGTTGGAAGATCTTGTTGTTGTGAATGTGCGTCGACTCGATTTGTGCTGCAACAGTGATTTGATTGACAGCCCGCTCTCCTGGTGGAACTGGTCTGGACGTTAAACTGCAGGCTTTATTTCATGTGGGACCGTCAGGCTCCTGCTTTATGTGTTATGGCATGTCGGCTCCGTGCAGGTTTACAGATCTCCGCCCTTTTTGAAATAAAGAGATTCAGTTGGTGTGACCCACTCAGTCACAGAGGTTCCTGTGCACCTCTCATCCACACAGCTGCAGGACTGTTCATGCTGAGGTAAGTCACAAACAGCTCCGACTCATCAGGTTACACAGTCTGGTTAGATCTGGTGTCTGTGTGGTGAACCTCCAGGGATTGAAAGTGATTGGTGCTCTCTTCATCAGACTGATTTAAACCTTTTCATTCTCTGCTGTGTCTTTGTTTTATGGTTGAATTCAGGCCCAAAAAGTTGTTTTCTTTTCTGTTTGAAAAGAAAAAGAGAAGATAAAACTTTGAACTCACCACAGCTTTGTTGTCTGTAGTTCAACTGAGTGGTGCAGCTGATGAGCTTGTATATGAAGGTTATTCCGCATTTTAAACTAAAGCATGAAACTTTCTCCCGTGTTTCTATAAACCTGGAAGATTATTTTCAGAGGTGGAGACATGTGACCTCTGAGACAGGGCGGAGCCTCCCGGAGTAATGAGTGTGGTGCAGACCAAATGATTAGACTGTTCGCTAATGTGCTAGCTAGTCATGTAACTCCATAGACACACAGCAGAAGCTACAGCTACCTTACACAGCAGGAAATAAACGTCTTTATGCAGTTTTGTCAAAGATACACATGATGTTGGAGAAAAACTAGACAAATGCAACGCCGAGGTCAATGACCTTGCGGTTTGTAGATTATATACTGAGACTTTCATGCTTTAGTCATAAAATACACCATTGGTTTGCACTACTTGCCCCACCTGGAGGAATCACAGAGGGATGAAGCTGAGAGCTGCAGCTCAGTAGAAAGATGGAGGAATTTGTGCGGTGTGAAAGAAAAAGAAGACAACTCTGACTGTTTGGCCGAACGTCGTGACGATGTTTGTTCTCCAGTCAAGTGTTAGAGGACAGGCTGCGCTGCAGAGGGACATTTAAGACGAAGCTGCTGAACTTCTGTTTGCTGATTGGTCTGTGATGACGGTGCAGCGCTCTGTGCTTCTGCATCAGTTCATATCATCATCACAAACTGTGACTGACTCACTGAAAGCAGTGCTCTCTCTCTCTCCCTCTCCCCCCGTCACTGTCCTCCACTCAGCAGACACTCTGCAGTCCAGTTTATACCGAGCGGAAAACTCAGATCGAATCATTATTACATTTATGCAAATGTATTAAAAAGTAAAAAGTTGAAATATCACATTGACATAAATATTCAGACACTTTATTGTGACACTGCAGGTTAGACATTAAGACATACATCTTTACCAAATGTCAAGCTATACAGACTAACGGTGTGTGTGTGTGTGTGTGTGTGTGGGGGGGGTGTTACTTATAGCGCCACCCTCAGGACGAGTTGAATCATATTTCTTGTGAAGCATTCTCATGTTATTTCCAGTCATGGTGCAAAGTTTCGTGTCTCTGGCTCGTTTCCGCTCATGACAGTTTGAGCCGAAGCCAACAGATGATGATGATAATAATAACAATGACAATATTAATGATAATAACTCCTTAGAACCTTAATAATAGTAATAATAAAGAACAATAAGGTTCTACCTCTCCCGGGTTAGAACCCTAATAACCTTTGCGTCTGCACGAGCAGGTAAGGACCAACACGAGCCGAGGGAAGCGTCAGGGCAGTTGTGAGGCGTCCGCAGCAGCAGTGTGCAGAGTGACACTGGCTGTTCCTGGGTCAGTGTGGCGGTCGGAGCCTGGAGCCACTGAGCTGTGGTGTTCACAGGTGAACGGGAGGAAAACAGGCAGCAGAGCAGTCAGCCGTGTTTTCAGTCAGGTTAAAACCAACCTGTTTGTGGAGAGCGCACATGCTGACTCACCGGCTTCAGGAGAGCATGTTGATGCTTGAAGTTCTTCCCAGCTTTAACACACACACACACACACACACATTCCTTTAAAGCTACCATAGTAAAAGTAGAGTTAAAGTTACCACTGTAACTGACTCAAAGTTTCCATGGTAACACGCACACCTGCACGCCTGCCATCTCATGCACACCTGGCTTTTATTCACACACTGATAACTGTTTTGAATGAAGTCCTTTCAGAGGAGGAACACTAACTGCATGGAAACATTCACTCACCTGCTGCTGCTGGAAACGACGGACAGGAAGTATTTTAAATATTCACACAAAAATGTGTGAAAAATAAAGTTTTTTTGAATCGTATCAACAGACTGCTCGTTCTGTGTCATCTCTGGACTGACTTAATGTGTACAGCTGAGTATTATTAGATATTATAGTCATACAGGGTGATGAAGGTTTCTCCCTCACAGTTTTCTCATGTTTTCACAGATCTCCAAAGAGGTGTTGTATGGCAGTCACAGTCCGGTCCACACCCTGTCGTCGTCCAGCCGCAGCACCCTGCACAGCCTGCAGGGCTCCATGTCTCCCCCCATGGTCCGCTCCGTGCCCTCCTCTCCCTCCAGGATGGCGTACGGGAGCTCACGAGGGGGGACGGGCGCGGTGGATCCGGGCAATGCCACATTACCGCGGGAACGCCTGTCAGGGGTGGGGCGGTCGAGCAGCGTCTGCACCAGCAGCAGTGTCATCCTGGAGAGGAGAGACGTCAAGCCTGGTGAGGTACCTGCAGGGTCCTCGGCTGATTGATCAACGATCGATTATTTCAAGATTGTTAAAAATGTTTGGATGTTTTTTTCATGACGGAAGGAAAGAACTTTTTTCTTAAAGGGTTTGACACAGTGTTCAATACAGGAGATTTCACCTGCTTCACCTGCTTCACCTGTCCTGATGTAAAACATGAGCAAACATACCGTAGAAACTGACTCAGAGTAAAGTTACCATGGTAACTGACTCTGACTGAGTGAGTTAAACCTACTTTTCTCTGGATTTAAATGGTTCCTAACCTGTGTGTGTGTGTGTGTGTGTGTGTGTGTGTGTGTGTGTGTGTGTGTGTGTGTGTGTGTGTGTGTGTGTGTGTTAGATGAGGATGTGGGCAGCAGTAAGAGCATGGCCCTGGTGGTGCGAGGTGAAGGAGGACCCCATTACCCAGACTCCTACTGCTCCTCCCTGCAGGACGGAGGAGGAGGTCGCCTCAGCTTCGCCTCCTCCCAGTGCAGTGCTCCTCCCTCTGTCACTGCAGACATGGTTGATGCAGGGGTACCAGGGATCCCAGGGGTGCTGCACCAGTACCGGGCCTCCGTTAAACCGCTGATGGGGTACGGAGAGAGCACGGAGCACCCGACCCACTCCCTCCACAGGTATACACATCTGGGAAAACATGGCACTGATTTCTTGGAGAGGAAAGGAAGTGGTGAGAGAAAACAACAGTAATTAGAATCACCTCCTCGTGGTCGTATCCCTCCACCACTGAGACTAGTTCCAGGTTACATCCCTGTTTATCCAGAGTCATAGAAAATATGAACCACTGGTGTGAAATTTTGTCATAATTGCTGTTTGAAGTCTTGAGTTATGGCTTAAAAGAGTTTTGAGAGATCACACTGACCTTGACCTTTGACTTTTGACCACCAAAATGTGATCAGTTCGTCCTTGACTCCCAGTTGACATTTGTGCCAAATTTGAAGAAAATCCCTTGAGGAGTTCTCGAGATATCGTGTTCACATCGCGTGCCAAAATCATGTTTTGTGAGGTCCCTGTGACCGTGACCTTTGACCTTAAGCTACGAAAATCTAATCAGCTCGTCCTTGAGTCCAAGTGAATGTTTGTGCCAAATTTGGCAAAGTTCCGTCGAGGCCTTACTGAGATATTGTGTCCATGAGAACAAGACGGACGGCTGGAAAACCCAAAATCAATATGGCAATATAAAAACCAATCGATGACAGCAGTAAATAGTGAATATTGATTATTGCTGTTATATGAAGACAGTGTTTGTTTACCCAGGCGTGGATGAATCCATTGTTCCATCTTCTTTTCCGTCCTCCAGACAGAAGAGTAGGAAGTACGGAGAAAGCCAGCTGCCTTCCCTGGGAACCAAAACCCCGCCCTCTTCCCCTCACAGAGTCAGTGAGGTCAGGATGATTGACGGACAGGTCGCCGGAGGAGTGGGCCTGGTGTCGGCGGAGAGGATGTCACCGATTCGCCGGTCCCTGCGGCGGGACAGTAATGGAGCCACTGTGGAGATTATAAACAGAAGCAGAGGAAGCGGCTCGTCGTCCTCCACCTCGTCTGTGTTCGTGGACAGCCCTCTGGGACAGCCAGAGCGGTTGTTTCAGGGTCACGTGACCGCCAGCAACACCCAGAGGTGAGCTGAGAGCCACTCTAACTGTAACAATGGGTTTAATCTATGAAGAGAAAAGGTCAGCTGATTGTTCCAGGAGGAGGAGGTCAGACCTGTCCTCAGTCCAAACTGCTAAACACCTGAATCACAGACAAAGCTACAAGCTACGTTTTCATTCTGGTGTCCGAGGTATTCAACCTCTGTGGGGTCATTATCAAGGTCACTGATGTCAGTTGGTTCGTTAGTGCTCCTGGTTGTTATAATGACTGTTAATGTCAGTTGAGTCACCTGAGGCCAGTTGTCAACAACAGTCGTTTTTTTGGTTAAAGTTAAAGTTACCACAGTAACTGACTCAGAGTTACCACGGTAGTGAAAATTGAAGCTGCAGCATCGTGAACCTTTGAAGACTTTCAGCAGGTGGCGGACCTGAAGACACAACTTCACCATAATCCAGTCTGGACGACACAATTAGAGACTCGGTATCTGGCGTAGAGAGAACATAAGGTATTTTGAATAAAGACGGTCTCTTTGATGTCTCGGTGATCAAATGTGACACCCAGACAATGAGAAATCACAGTCATTCATATGATCATTTGAGAAGAGTCACCAGCTGCTTCAGGAAGATACAGCTGAGTATCATCAGCGTAACAGTGGAAATTAATTTCATGACACATATAATAAACACAATTTGACCAAGAGATGAAATATAAAGAGAAAAAAGTAGAGGACCAAGAACAGAGCCCTGTGGTACTCCTCCATATTTCACATTAGAAATATCTCACATATTATCATGTCTGATGAATCGCATACAGAGCAGCTGAAGAGCTCAGTACGTATTTGACAACATCACTTTAATGGTTAGTAAATGTCATGTGATAGATACGTGTGTGTGTGTGTGTGTGTGTGTGTGTGTGTGTGTGTGTTTCAGTGAGCGAATGAAAGCCATGGAGGAGCAGATAGCCAGTCTAGCAGGGCTGGTGCACCACGCTCTGTCTATGGGACCAGATGTTCCAGGAGTCAAGGACGCTATCAGGTCTGAACATCTGTATTTAACCCCCCAACAATGCAACAACCAATATGCTCATTAGATTTATCCACTATATGTCCTGCTCAGTCATGTATCACTCTGATGGAGGAGAAATGATTCTGTTAATAACATGGCATTAGCTGTGTGTGCTGTATTAACCTTGACTGGATGACTGTTTGTCTTCTCAGTGAGAGTGCTGGACGTAAACTCCTCAACAACAGACCAGGTGACGTTCATGTTTCACACCATCACACAAACACAAACGTCTCATGTGCCGAACATGAGGATAATCTTATATATAAAAAAAAAAATCACCTTTCTTTCATCTTCAGTGTCGTCTGAGCCTCAGAACTCCACCGCTTTGATTGACAGCTTCAGCCCCGCCCCTCTGGCTCTTCAGGCCCCTCCCTCTGACGGCGGGCTGCAGCAGAGCTTGGTGTTAGCAAAGAGAAGTGTGTGTGAGCTGCGACTGCAACTCAGCCAACTCAGACAACTACAGGTACAGAGCTGTGTAATAATAATGATGATGATGATGATGATGATGATGATTTAAGGTGTTTAGTTGCATCAGCACAACAGAAATAATTATTTACATCAAATAGATTGACACCAGTCTTAAACACACAGTCTGTAACTTCTGTCTCTAGGGGTCTGTTGATCAAAACAATAACAAAAGACGACATTTGTTGATGTCTGTGGGATCATGGGAGTTGTTGTCTCCTCCCGGTTTGGGTTCCTTCAGTGGTTCAGGAGATTCTAACTGTTAAAAACACTAAAAAAAGCAGTTTGACATTTAAAGTCAGAGTCTGAGCGACGCTGTACGGAGGACAGAGACTCAGGGAAGAGTCGGAGCTGAGACTGATGCTAACTGACTGTTTCTCTGATAACTAATGAACCAGACTCTCAGCAGGTTTTCACCAGCAGCTGAATGATCCACAGAGGTTTCCTCCTCTCCACAACAAACACACCAGGGGGTTAAAACCAGCAGAAACACTGACTAAAGCTTCAGCTTGTTTCTCTGATAACTTCAGATCCAGACGTCTGACGACTAAAATCATCTGGTTCAAATAAACGAGCTGAAAACCACAGAGGTGTAAAAAGTGTCTGTGGCTTAAAACTAGATAGAAGTCAGGGTTGAGTTTCTGTCAGACAAACACACTGACACGTGATCATAGAGGATATGATGTCATCAACAGGCGACCAAACACCATAAAATGTATTTTTCTTTTCACTCTGTTGAAAATATCAATGATTCAATTAAATTATCATCACTAATATTTTCAGTCAGTTACAGCAGCTCTCTGACACAATCATAAATGTACATGCAGGGACCTGATTCATTATTATTTTTTATTTCACACAGTTTATTAAACCTCCTGTTTTTATTACACGTGGTTTCAGTATTTGTTGTTATTACTTTTTATTGAGTAAATAAACATTTGAGTGGATGAAACGTTACCAAAAGCTTCAGGACTTGTTCTTCAGAGGTCGTGACAGAGGTGAGCTGGTGTTGTAGAAATCAGGTACAGTGTCGTTGACTCACGATTTTGACTCCATGTGTTCCAGCTGTTGAACCAGGAGAGCGTGAGTTCGATGCTGAGGATGGCGGGTCAGGAGCTGGTGGGGTTGATGTGTGATCGGCTGGCTCAGTCCGAGGAGGCGGCGCACGGACGGAGAGCTGAGCTGGACGAGGAGAGGATCCACTACCTGGCCACTGAGGACAGAATACTCTCCCAGCTCAGGTAAGAGCCTGAATGTGCTCAGGTGTGGCACAGTCTGTATCTATATGAAGAGAGAAGAAGAAGAAGAAGAGGAGCGGCCACTCTCTTACAAGTTGTTTTGATGAATGATAAAAACAGTGTGAACAGCAGAACATCAGCCTGGTGACATTTAGACGTCAGCTGTGTCTCCTCGTTGAGGTTGAAGCACAGATTGGACTTTCATTAGTGGCTATGATTTATGAAGTGGTGATTTGGCCTTTTCAACATTCACACACTCGCTCTGACATCAGGCTTCGAGTGATGTCACCGCGGCTGAGGTCAAATCATTGGTGCCATGTACGACACAGCACGGCAGCGTCTTTGGGCAAGAGAGAGACACGGCGAGGAAACATATTGTTAAAAATAGAGCCGGCGGACGGGACGTGATGTGATGTGCCGTGACGCGGTCTCCAGAAACATCAGAACTCGTTCTCATGTGAACACGCCGCACGCCGACTCTGTTCAGAGGCCGAGCGTTTATCACGAGGAGGAGTCTGAGATACAACCGTCCAACAGACTGTCACGTCTCTGTCTCCAGTCTGTCAGAAGAAAATATTATTCTGAGCTTCTCTCATCATATTCTAAGATAAACGAGTATCAGAAGAACCAGCTGCTGGACTGACAGTTAACGGATATGATGATCGTCAAGCTCAGGTCTTCTAATACAGGATGTTAATCCTGATCAGGTTTATCGTGTCACCTCTGAACTCTGGACCATGAGAGTGAAGTTGACTCTCAGCTCGGTGGATGATTTACAGTGGCTCATTGCGTGTCTCCCATAATCCTGCAGAGAGCTGCACGTCTAATTATTCTGTATGTGCATGAATGTTAATAACTGACCCACATACAAGACGATGTTTGAAGTAGAATCACCGTCTCGTGGTCGTATCCCTCCGCCAGTCGGACTAGTTTCAGGTTACATCCCTGTTTATCCAGAGTCATAGAAAATATTAAACATTTGCTCCATAATTTATGGCTAAAACTTGTTTTGTGAGGTCACTGTGAGCTTGACCTTTGACCTCTGACCACTAAAGTCTCATCAGTTCATCTTTGAGTCCAAGTGGACATTTGTGCCTAATTGGAAGAAGTTCCGTCAAGGCGTTTCTGAGATATCGTGTCCATGAGAGTGGGACGGACGACCTGAAAACAATATGGCCTCCAGCTCTGACTCATGCGGCGCGGAGGAATAAAAATCACCATAAATCATTTCTGACTGTGTAAATATACTGAATGAATCCTGAACCACAGACCTGGTTCCTGTTCCCGTCCTCTCCGCTCTCCCACGCCGTCTCGGGGGCGGGACCTGTGTCCGCCTGCTGCTGTGAGTAAACTGATGGATGACAGGTCTCCTTCCGGCTCTGAACCAACATGAATTATTATAACGATTAAAGCACAACAACAACTTACAGTCATATGAACATCCACCCTCCTATTATCTAATTATGATTCTCTAACAATCATCTGTTGCTGGGAGGCGGCTGCGGCTCAGGAGGCGGAGCAGCTGGGTGAATGTGGCGTGTTTATTTATTTATCTCAGTGTTGATTCAAACTAAACTAAAGTCCAATGTTAAAACTCAGCCTTAACATCTGGTGTTTCCAGTACTCAGATCAGTTTATTAATGTAAATACTGCGTTACAAGTTACAGTCTTTTAGATCACGTGATGATGATATTATTGAACCATTATTACAGATTATTACGTGTAAACAGCTTTTTCTTGTTGCAGCGAATCGAGGTGAAACTCAATTTATAGAAACAGCTCCTTTAAAGAACCTGAGTGAACGCACCCACATACTTTACACACTTTAATGTTTTTAAAGAGTTTCTGTGAAGCTGCAGACAAACGTGACGACTTCAGGAGGACTGAGCGTGTGAACTCTGACCCCTGGAGGCAGATTATCTACATGGATGTTTAATTGAGATAAAGATAATGAATGATTTCAGGGTCGATTGTCATTAAAGATGTTAGAGCATCACAGACGTACAGCTGTTGGTCTGATGACCTCTGCTGCCCCCTGCTGTCTACAGTCATTTATCACATGCTGTACTTCCTGTTGTGTCCCACCGAGCCGCTGACACCGCTCATGTGTTCCTCGCCTCTCAGTGAACTGGAGGACTACGTGGACCGTCTGCAGAGGAGCTCCGCCTCCGATCCCGGCCAGCTGTCAATCACTTTGAGAGACGTGGAGGAGGGGGCGGTGAGCCTGAGGCGGGTCGGGGAAGCTCTGGCCGTCCTGAAAGGTGGGTGGAGAATCAGAGCACAGATTAAAACATGTGATCAGATGACCGGATCAATACGTTCAGATATAAAGGCCTCGGCTTCTTTAGGGCTTATTGATTATTCTACAGATAAAGAGGCAGATACTAACTGCGACTGATGCTAAATATTAACAATAATTAACTTCTACACCTGTAGGCAGAGCAACAGAGACACGCTGCAGTTTAACATGTTCTATAATACTTTTATCATACATCGTCATTATCAGCATGTTGTTCCCCTCCCCTCCCTACGGTGGCCCAGAGAGCTCAATGCACTGCAACTTCAGAGAACATCAGTTCATCAATTTGACACATGAGCTGCAAATACTCACAACACAACAGGAAGTGTTTCCAGGGGACACTGAAGAGTGACGAACCCGACTGGGACGAACTTGTTGTTCAATTCTTGTGACTTTTGAAGTCAAGAGCATTAAAGTAGATCCGTGCAGGTGCGTCCCAGCCGGGTTCATCGCTTTCTTTTTGCCTTATTCCGATGTCCGTCAAAGGTCGTCACCGTAAAACTGACGATTCCTGAATGTGTTTGTGTTTCCTCTGTTTGCACGTGTTTCCTCGCGCTGCAGTGTGTGTTGACCTTTCAGGGCCACCGTACTTTATGTTTAAACACATTTACTCAAAGACATTTAACTGTGATCACCAGGTGATGCTCAGGCCGTCTTTCCTTACTTCCCTCCAGGTGAGTTTCCAGAGCTGCAGGTGAGGATGCGCTCCGTGCTGAGGGTGGAGGTGGAGGCGGTGCGCTTCCTGAAGGAGGAGCCTCACAAGATGGACTCCATGTTGAAGAGGGTCAAAGCCTTGACGGAGACGCTCAGCTCTCTGCGCAGGTACTGAAGGACTTCACCACAACACGTGTGTGTGTGTGTGTGTGTGTGTGTGTGTGTGCGTGCTCATCCCTGTCCTGTGATCAACAGGTGTGTGTCAGAGTCAACCCCCCCAGGTCGACCTGCCCAGGTGGAGCCTCTAAAGGTCCTGGAAACAGAGCAGGGACCCCCCAGGACTCAGAGCCCTCAGAGCTCCCCCAAACCGCAGCCTCGGTCCTCTGTCAGACCCCCTCTTCAAACCCCCCCCCTCTCTGGGACTGAGGTCAGTGTGGGGGGGTCAGCCTCCCCCGTCATGACCCGCAGGATGACGAGCACAGTGGCCACAGTGATCCAACCCCCCCACCACCACCCCAGCCCCCCACTGACGCCCACCCACGGACGAGACTCCCCCACCGTCGCCAAGGTACCGACGAAGGTGGTGATGTGAGCGTGTGTGTGTGTGTGTGTGTGCGTGTGTGTGCGTGTGTGCGTGCGCTGGACAGAGTGTGTAACAGGTGTTGTGTTGTGAAGGTGAGTCCTCGCAGCAGAGAGGGAAGCCCCGCCCTGCACAGGAGGCTGCCCCCCCCGCAGTCCGATGGACTCTGTAGTCCAGCAGGTGGAGCGCCAACACAGGAGACCCACACTGACCAGACCCCCGCCACACACACACAGACACACACCCAGGTCAGTGCTGAACACACACTCAGCACTATGTCAACACTGAGCACACATTGATCTTGAAATTGATAAAATATAAAATCTGTGAATCTCGAACACGTGAATATTCATTTAGAAGGTTTATTAAGCGTCACTTTATTTTGAAAGGATGTGTCACAGTGGTGGCAGTTAGAAGCCTCATCGTGTCGTGGATCGAGTGCTGGGTTAATCTGTGGATCTTTTAGAGCGGCAAAAACACGTGTTGACTTCAGGTTTTCGCTCTGCTATGAGACAGTACAGAGAAATGTGGGCTCACTATTTGGCAAGCAGCAGGTCACTGTTGCACTTCTTATCTAATGTGTTATAGCAGTTAATAATCGATTTATAAAGTGTTGACAAGCTAATTAATGAACTTACAGTTATAAACCATTCATAAATCCTTTATAAGGGGGGTCTTATTGTGAAGTGGTACGGTGTCAGGTGACTCCTTGAGGGCTTTTAATTTGAAAGGTACATACGGCTGGTTCAGTTCAGCTCTGAACTAGACACAGTGAAGATGTTTCTCACCTGTGTGCTGAAGGATGATCACAGGTGAGACCTGTCCTTGTTTCTCCACAGACCAGCAGAACAGATGCAGACGAGCGGCCCCCCAGCTGTGACTCCAGTCGGCCTCCCAACACCAACGCAGATTTAGACCAGGTCCTCCAGGAGGCCCAGGCCAGCCTGATGAAGTCCATCCCTGATCTGGATGTGTCCGATACCAGAGAGGGTGTCAGTGAACCTCCCCCAGGACAGAACCTACCTCTGGACCCGGCACAGCAAGGTGGACCTGTAGCCCCCCCCACCCCCACTGAAAACACATCGGGCCACGTGCAACAACATTTCTAACCCTCACACTTGACCTCTGACCCTTTCGGTCAGGGGTTGTCTGTGAACGTGTCTCTAGTCAAACTGCAGTGATGCGTCGTAACCAGCTGTTTTCAGCAGCTGTACACGTCCGACAACATCTGGACAGAAGGTTCTTACACGAGGCCCGATGTTCCCACAGCATCACATGAATCTGGAAACACATACAGTGAACGCAAAGACATAACACCTTCCTGTGAAAACCATGTATCTCCAAAGTGGAAACAGTTCATTTAAGCTTTTTAAAAGGGTTTCTTCATTGTGCGTGTGAGGAGGAGGAAGAGGAGGAGGAGGAGGAGGAGGAAGAGGAAGAGGAAGAGGAGGAGGAGGAGGATGAGGATGTTTCTCAGCCTGTTAAACATAATTTTCTCCTTCACAGTCCTCACAATCACTTGGAGATACAAGGTTTTTACTGGACATTAACAATGTGAGATTTAAAGTGATTAATATCTGTGTGTGTGTGTGTGTGTGTGTGTGTGTGTGTTGCAGCCTCAGTGGAGCAGCTGAGTGATCAGGTGGACTCCACAGACACAGGTGATGTTAATGTTTCCGTAGCGACAGTCAGGCTTTTATGTCTCGTCCTCGTGATCGTGATTTCTCAGAAACACTTTGAGGGAATTTCTTCAGATTTGGCACGAAAAACATTTAAAAAATAAGATATTGATGAAACACTCTGATGTTTGGATGTGTTTAGCTCCACCAGATGTGGAGCCTCCTCCGTCAGCTGCTCCAGTAGCTGCTGAATCAGCTGCTCCAGTAGCTGCTGAATCAGCTCCTCCATCAGCTCCTCCATCAGCTGTTTCCAGCGGTCGGCCACAGGTGGAGAAACCCCGGCGCTCCAGCGTGGACAAAGAGATGAGGCAGAGTCCAGACAGGAGCCGCAGGTCTTCTCCTCCTCCTCCTCCTCCTCCACGAAGGTCAGTTGACCTCTGAGGATCAGACTCAGTAAATCACCGTTAACTCATGATGAGGATTCAGGATTCAGTTTGTGGTCTCTCCAGGTTCCACGCCGTCAGCTCAGGTGTCACCACAGGGAGGTCAGGAGAGGTCATCTTCACCACCAGGAGAGAGCCGGCTGGAGCACAGGTACATGTCTAGGTATAAATCCAGACCTGCATGTGGTCTGTAACAGAACTATAATGTGAAATCTTTTATAGAGTCTGAACTGCGTGTGTGATTCCACTGTAAACTACAGAGCAGAGTTGGAACGACGCTCCACTACTTTTATTCTCCAGCTGACATAAAATATCTACAGTCACATGATCACGTTTATTTATCTACGTTTGAAGAGCTTGAAGATGCGATCATCACTGAAGAGTCTGTCATGAAGAGAGCTGAGAAAAACACATGGTCACAGTCATGTTGACATTTAAGGTGTATTGATTGATTTCCAAACGTCAATCATGTATCAAGTAACACTGAAGAAAACATTCCACCTTAAAAGATGGCGGCAGCTGCCGGTAGCGTCTGAGCGGCTCAGTGAATTAAATGGTTAATTAGTGAAAAGACAGAAAACATCCTTTCATCCATCGTTCACTTGTAATGAAACTGACTAAACAGAAATCTGGGAAATGAATGAAGACAGCGACAAGTTTTATTTGCTCCTGCAGTTTCATTGCAAAAACAAAAAAAAAAAAACATCTAAAAAGCTGCTGCAAAATCAGATATTTTAGCTGCAACAATCCCAAAACAAGCTGCCAGATCCTGGAGGGACTGTATAAGATCTAATGTAACTGTTCTTATTGTTCAAGAAAATAAACAGGTCACAGCTGAATCACTCGTCTTTATTATGTGCTCAGTCATAAACAGCGTAAACATGTCGTACATGGCGTCCTCAGGATTAGCAGTTAGCTTCACAGATAACGTCTATCGAGTTATAAAGCTTGTGTTTGAGACAGCAGCGTTAGCTTAGCATTAGCATCCGGACTGAAGACTGAGGGGTTGTTGCGTATCTTTATGGTTTTCACTTGCACCACATTTAATATCCAGAGCTGAAACATTATGATCAATAACATTGATAGATATTTGTCTGTGGCTCTTCTTAAGAAACAACATGTCTCATGTGTTTCAGGAGGAGAAACAGGACAAAGAGCCTCCTCCGGTTCCTCAGCCCAAACCCCCAAGACAGCCACCAGAGGTCAAACCCAAACCCCAGATGTGTGCTCCTGCACCTCTGGCTGGCTCCACTTCCACCCCTGCTCCAACCTCAGCACACAGGGAGGAGGAGGAGGAGGAGGAGGAGGAGGAGGAGGAGGAAGAGGAGGGAGGAGAGGAGGGGGAAGAGGAGGGGGAAGAGGAGGAGGAAGAGGAGGAGGACAACAGATTCATCAAAGAGCTGCAGGTACGTTTAATAATCAGCTCTTTCTTTAAACTGAAGCAGAGAAACCACCAGGATGTGACAGGACTCCAGATGTGATAGACAGGACTCCAGATGTGATAGGACTCCAGGTGTGACAGGACTCCAGATGTGATAGATTAGACTCCAGATGTTACAGGACTCTAAATGAATTTACTCCCATGAACACATTGAAGTGTTAGTTAACGCTGTTAACGTCCACTGCTTCCTTGTACCTCTGACCCCTCCCCCATCTTTGTGACCTTGACCCTGACCATGGACCCTCCCGCTTCTCACCCAGGTCTTTCAGAAATGTTCAGTGAGGGGTGTAGGGAGCAGAGGGGGGGTAGATCCCTCAGCCTCTCAGCTCCAGAGCAAAGAGACGCAGTCTGAGGTAAAACGAAAAGACTAACAGCACTAATGATTAACGACTCCGTATCCACAGCAGGTCAATCTTTAAACGTCTGCTGATGTGAAAACCTCACTGGTTCTATTAACTGTTCACATTCATGTTTAAATTTTACACAATATGTGTTTGACTTAATAATAAATATTAAATTAAATGATATATCACAGTTAACGTTCATGAATCCAGTGAGACGTTTGATGTTGACTAACTACCTCTCTGCTGCTCTGTCTCTCTCTGATAATCATTTACTGCTTTCATTGACGTGTGTTTTCCAAACTACAACACTAAACTGTTACAGAGGAAAACAGTTAGCATTGTGGTGTGTGTGGTGCAGTGAGACTGATCTTACCTTTCTGTGACCTCAAGCTTCTCTTCTTTCAAACACAGCAGCCATTGATTACCAGACAAACTCTCGGTTTTCCTCCAGGATCTGTCTCTTGTATCGCCTTTCTTGTTTCTTTGGTTCTGTGGACTGTCCTCTACCTCTGTCCTCTTCTCTGAGACTGAGACAGACCTGCAGCTGGTCAGGATGTTCTCCACGAGAACGTCCTGTGACAGGTTGTTGTTCCCAGTCTCCAGGACACAATCCTGGGGGACCCCTGCATCAGGATGACGGTCTCAGTTGTGGTTTTTCCAGCTCGTATTGAGTGTCTGTCTGTGAGGAGGTCTAATAACCAGTTGCACCGTGTTGTGTTGACACCCAGTAGGTTCTTGCCCAGGTTCCTTAATCAACATACATTAATCTGTATGTTAACTCAGGTGAAGCTACCTTTTATGTGCCTCTGCACCGACGACCGTCAGAGCCGGAGGCATATTGTTTTGGGGTTGTCCCTCTGTCTGTCCCATTATTGTGGACGTCAGTAGAGCCTTGACGAAACTTCTTCAAATTTGGCACAAACATTCACTAGGATGCAAGGAAGGACTGATTAGATTTTGGTGGTCAAAGGTCAAGGTTACAGTGAAATAAAACTGACATCTATACAATGACTCGGACATGAAGAGAACATGACATGAGGCGTTGCTGTAACACAACTGAGTAGTTAATGTAAACACAGGGAGACAGATCAAGTAAACTAAATTTCTAAGCTATAGCCAATAGATTCTACAGTCAACTCATGGATGATGGTAGCTGTGGTTATAAATACATATATAATATACATATACATACATATTGTGTATGTATATAAATTAATTTTGAGTAATAATGGAATATAAAAGACTAAATAATATAATTTCCAGACGATCACATGTTTAATCTTCCCTTCTCTAATTATAGGTGACTACAGAACTGTCAAAAAAGAATAAATTGCCAGGTGGAACTAAGCATTTGAAAGGAAAGCTGAGGAAATCTTCAGCATCACAAGTGGCCAATCAAAAGCCTCCTGAGTTAGCAACATGTGACCACCAGTCATTCAGACCAGCAGCTGGACTGGAAGAGCAAGGTGGAGGCGGGAAAGACCGGGTCAGTCTCTATCAGAGGAGGGGAGCAGGGCAGAAGGTGGTCCACCAAGGGTCTTCCTTAAACCGTACAACAGCAGAGAAGGTGGAGCTGCCTCCACCTGTTGCTTTACAAGATGCTCAGTTAACACTTAACAGGGAGCTAGGTGGGAAGATGTGCTCCCCAACCACAGCAGAAAATAAAGTCAAGGTCACAACAATTGTTACTCTACAGAAAGTAAAGAGTGGAGGGTCTGAGCCCCCAGGTCCTGAGAAGACTCATGGAAAAGTTGTGAAAGAGGTTCCAGCTGACAAGAAGTCAAACATGATGGTTATTGTAACTTTACAAAAAGAAAACTCTCCAGAGGATTGTTCGTCCCTGAGCTCGGATCAGGAGCGTTTCCCTTTTCCTCCGTCCCCAAAACCTCCCCCCCTCCCCTCCAGCCCGACTCTCAGCCACAGCAACAAGCAGCAGAACCAGGAAACAGCAGTGCAGGGAACCAGGGACCGGTCGCAGTACACAGAAGAAGGAGGTAGTCTGAGCCCCGATCGATGGGACGACGAAGGACCTCCTCCTCCGCCACCTCCAAACAGTGACATCAGCCTCAGGATGTCCAAGACCAGAGTCAGGGCACAGTCCAAAGAGGAAGACTTAGTCCAGATGAACGGTTTTGACACACAGACTGGAGAATCCACTCGCCTGGCACATGAGGACCAAAGTTTCGAGGACAGTAACGACAAGAGACCTATCATCGTCATCTTGGATGAGCCCATGGACATTCAGTCAGCCTACAAACGTCTGTCCACCATCTTTGAATCTGAGGAAGATCTCGATGGGATCCTCACTCCAGAGAGCGTAGTGGATGAAGAGCAGACGAGGCACGAGGAAGAGGAGCAGGGCCTGAGAAAACTCTGCATCGCCGAGATAAAGCACCAAAGACCAGATACTGACTCCGCTTTTGAAAACCAGGACCTGGGTAAAGCAGACTCGCCCAGAAAGACAGAGACCAAGAAGAAATTCAAATTCAAGTTCCCCAAAAACAAACTAGCTGCAATTACCCAAGCCCTTCGAACAGGGACGAAGACAGGAAAGAAGACTCTGGATGTTGTTGTGTATGAGGAGGAGGAGGAGGAGATGGCATCAGACAGCAGGCTGGTGAAGGAGACCAAGAACCAGACCAGGGAATCCAGGAGCTGTGAGATCAGCAGGACCAAACATTTGAACTCGTGTGAAGGCAACAGCTGTGACAGAGACCTCAAGGTGTCCTCTCCCAGACTCTCCACATCACACAGCCGGGTGGAGGAGCTCTGCAAGACTACATTACACTCTGTCGGCAATCTAGAAGAGTCCATCAAACAGCTGGAGATCAGTGTGGGCAGTATAAGTAACCCCTCTTCCCCCCCCTCCATTCAGTCTGCTCCTCCTCAGTCCCCTGGTGCTGCCTCTGATGACAGGGCCCAGATTAAAGGCAAAGTCAAACGAGAAAGGGAGAGAAGCCCGTCCAAGAGGCCGGCCCCTCAGATCCTCAAGGGCCCAAATCCTCCTCAGAGCAAGAGGGCCAAACCACAGCCAGCACACGACACGGGGAAAACCTCCTCCAAGAAACAGGTCCGGAGTTCCTCTCCCTGCAGAGCTCGCTTGCTTCAGTGGTGCTGGTCTGGGGCTGGTCTGGGGCTGGTCTGGTGCTGGTCTGGGGCTGGTCTGGGGCTGGTCTGGTGGTGGTCTGGTGCTGGTCTCGTGCTGGTCTGGTGCTGGTCTGGGGCTGGTCTGGTGCTGGTCTGGTGATGGGCTCTTTACTCTGCCTGTCTGACTTTGCTCTCACATCTTCTGCTCTACGAGTCTGTCCTTCACAGCCTCACTTTACATCCTCATGATTCTTCTGAGGAAGGACAAAAACTGCCTGAAGTTCTGATGAACTGCCACAAAGATCAACGTACTTTTTATAGTAATTTCTGGAAACCTGAGGCTAGTTGTGGTATATATGGTTATATGGACTGTCTCTGCAGTCCGTGCTCATTTACCACCATGGACCAACTGTAGGAACGTTTAGCTTTAGGCTCCGTGTAGTTAGCGCTTAATGAATTTTTGCTCAAGGCGTTTCCTGATTACCATTTAGAAATCGGGAAACGGCAAATGGAAATCGGGAATTTGAAATACCCGTGTGGGAATCATCTTTCTCAATTCAGATTTGGAGACGGACGTAAACAAAACGTCTTTGCAGGAATATGTGGGTTTTAGTGAAGAACACAGAATAAACAGGACGTCTTGTGGTGATATCGCCGCTGCATTATGCACCCAGAGAATTAAAAGTGGCTGATATACGCCGCCAGTGGTGGAGCAGCTTATGCTGATCTCTAGTGATATGCCACTCGTGTTCCCAACGGCTGGTGCCGCTTGACATTGGTTGGCCACCGTCAGACTGTAATCGCCCTGCCTCGCTTATATAAGTTTGTCTCGTCTGTTCTGTTGTTGTTCTGTTGTGCGATGCTTTTGAAATGACAGTAAAATAATTTCTTATTCTGATGCTGGAGGGAAACATTTTCAACTTGAGTACAATGTTCGATGTCATCTTTGATTTAGTTTGTGTCTCCTTCACCGTCCCATCCAGTCTGGACTAACTAAACTCTTGTTTCTGCAGACATCCAGCAACATCTCCAGCTCATCTGCTCTGAGATCCCACACCAGGTCCCGCCACTCATCCTCCTCACCTGAGAAGTCACCTAAGGCTCAGAAACAGGCCACGCAGAAGCAGCCCAGCCAGGTAAATGAACTCTGAGGAGACCGGAGATCAGACTGAGAGGGAATCAGTGCAATGCTTCAGTGTAATGCTAATGTAAAACTAACAAACACCTGCTCTAAGAGAAACATTAACTAACATCCTCTGAAGCTTCAGGGTGACGCTGCTCATGATGAAGGTGGATACAAATGGAAATTTGGATCGACTCACTGAACATTATAAGATAATCATGTTCACTTTGGTCCATTTTCTTTTTCCCCGAAACAAAAGAGCTTCAGTCGGGCTTCGTTCATTCACAGTAAATTCACATCTTATTTACTTAAAGTAGAAAACCATTCTGCTGAAATTACTTCTAAACGTTTGAATTAATTTATTTTAACTACATGAGCTGTAAGACCTATAAATAGATAGATGAGAGGGAAGTAGATAGACCTCCAGCTGTCTGTACATCAGTAGCATGAAAACGACATATATCATCGTTAATAATAATTGTTTTGGTGATTTTACTGTGTTTACAGTGAGTTTTAAATGTGTCCGTGTATCTGTCTTTAATCTGTGAAGATGTGAGTCTTCCTCTGTTTGTTTGTAGCTGTGTTCACCTTCCTCTTCACCTTGGCACACCTCTTCAAGATACACTCCCTGATGTTGTTTTAATTCTCTTTAACGCTGCTGATGTTCAGAACCTCCGCACAGTTGACATGAGGCTGTGGATCAGGGAGTGGATCTTGACCTGCTGTAACCTGCATGTTCACTGTGTCCAGCTGTTCTTCATCTGGCAGTGAGATGTGGAAATATTATTTGGGTGTCAAAAGCTCTCAAAGCCATTTACAGATGTTGGTAATCCAGCTGTTTATGCTAATATCTATGAGATGAAGGAGTATGTCTTCGTCTCAGTGCAGCATGTATGTTGTGGCTGGAGCTTGTTTCAATACAGTCTAAAATCATTGATGACAATAGAACATGTTTTCCACTACTGGGGCCCGCCCTGTTTCAGGTTCCCCCAGTGTCAATTTATCTTAGTCTCAGGTTCCCTCAGTTTTAGGTTCCCTCAGTGTCAATTCATCTCCGTGTCAGGTTCCCTCAGTGTCAGATTCCCTCAGTTTCAGGTTCCCTCAGTGTCAGGTTTCCTCACAGGTTCCCTCAGTGTCAGGTTCCCTCAGTTTCAGGTTTCCTAAATGTCAGGTTTCCTAAATATCAGGTTCCTTCACAGGTTCCCTCAGTGTCAGGTTTCCTCACAGGTTCCCTCAGTTTCAGGTTCCCTCACTGTCAGGTTCCCTCAGTTTCATTTTTCCTCACAGGTTCCCTCAGTTTCAGGTTTCCTCAATGTCAGGTTCCCTCGCAGGTTCCCTCAGTTGCAGGTTTCCTCACAAGGTTCCCTCAGTTTCAGGTTCCCTCAGTTTCAGGTTCCCTCAGTGTCAAGTCCCCTCAGTGTTAGGTTCCCTTAGTGTCAGGTTCCCTCAGTGTCAAGTTCCCTCAGTGTCAGGTTCCCTCAGTGTCAGGTTCCCTCAGTGTCAGGTTCCCTCAGTGTCAGGTTCCCCTCAGTTTCAGGTTCCCTCAGTTTCAGGCTCCCTCAGTTTCAGGTTCCTTCAGTTTCAGGTTCCCTCAGTGTCAAGTTGAGTGACTGTTTCTTCTCTTACCTTGACAAGACTGGCCACAGCCATAGAGGTACCAGGTGTGAGTGTTGTTGTCTTATCGTGTGTGCTGTGTGTTGTTGTCTTGTCATGTGGGCTGTGTGTTGTTGTCTTGTCATGTGTGCTGTGTGTTGTTGTCTTGTCATGTGTGCTGTGTGTTGTTGTCTTGTCATGTGTGCTGTGTGTTGTTTTTGTTGACTTGTCGTATGGTGTCTGTTTGCAGGCTGTCAGCAGAAGCAGTAGAGCAGCCGGGGATAGTAACCGTTGTGTCGTTGCTTTGCGTCCCTCTAAGATCCCAGCCTTGTACCATAGCTCTGGGAAACATCCGTCTGCCTCTCTGTCCACTGCTCACTGCTCAGACACCTCCTCCTCCTCCTCCTGCTCCTCCTCCTCCTCCTCCTCAGGGAAACACTCAGTTCTGTCTTCTCCTTCAAATGTCTCCAAGTCTCCTTCCGGCTGGTCTTCTCCTTCCTCGGCCCAGCGCTCCAGGCGACAGGCTTCCTTGTGTCCTCTCTCCTCCTCCTCGTTGGTGAAGAGCTCCTCCTCCCTTTCTCTGTCAGACTCCCCTCCTCCCTCCCCCTCTCCGCCCCCTCCTTCATTTTCTTCCTCCCCTCCTCTTCACAAGTCTTTAATCCCGTCTCTGAATCTGAGTCGTCTCCTCCCTTCGTCTAGCCACGTGTTGTCGCCATCCCACGCTAACACCAGCTCCGCCCACCACGGGCTTCGCAGCAGCAGCAACCGCCAGCAACACCTCGTCCTCGCATCCACCTCCACCTCCAGCACCACCTCCACCTCCCAACACAGCTACTACTCTTCATCCTCCTACTCTTCATCCTCACCCTCCTCCTCCTCCACCTCCTCCTCCCTGTCTCCCACCTCGTCCTCCTCCTCTCCTCCCTCCCCGTCCTCCTCCCTCCTCCCCACCATGGTGAGTCACGGGACGAGGAGTGTTCGAGTGTCAGAGTCCGACCCCGGTTCTCCATGCCCCGGCAGGAAGTGCACAGGAAGCCAAGGCGGCCGACTCGTGAGGACGGCGGCAGCAGCGGCGGCGGTGGAGGCAGCCTCGAGGGACTTGGCGTGATGGTTTGATCTGAGTTTTAAAAACATGTAAGTGCAGAGAGAGATGACGGCGTGTACCCAGCTGAACACTGAACTCTTCCTACAGCAATACTGTGTGATGTTTACCTTCGTTTGGATAATGTGGTCAAAAATGAAACTTCTAAAAACCTGAAAATAAAAGACAAGTCCAAGCCCCACTGGTACCATACACTGTGTGTCCAGACCGTCGCCATGCCGACCCATACACCAGCATGGTTGATATTACTGAAACAGATATTTGTGTATCAGCCAGTGACAAACAAACACCAAAGACACGTTTGAGGTCATTTAAAACTAGTTAATCTTTGAACTGTGAACGATCCACTCAGGACAAATCTGTAACGACAGCCAGTCTTTTTATTACGACTGTTACTCTTTAAAATTTATATTCAGGTTTTATCTTTCTGAAAAATTCAATCTGTCAGAATATTGAGGATAAAATAAGTGCAGCAGGCCGTGTGCTCCAGCAGGGCGGGCTGTGACACTGTGATGATGCTGAGTCTGACACCTGACCAGGTAACGATGAAGGATCCTGGACTCGACCTCCACAGGTACAGGATCTGGTCCAGGATCAGGTCTCGTGGATTCAGTTGATGTGAATTCAGTTCACGATAACATCAGGTGTCAGTTTTTTATTTATTTTTTTTACACCTGTCTCAGGTTAAAGGTGGGCAGAGCTCCGCAAGGAATCATGGGAGCTCATCAGGTGATAGAGGAGAGTGTCAATCATGCACAGTCACCTGAGAGGAGCTCACCTGTGTGAGGGGACACAGGTGTGTTGGGCAACCCTACTCCTAACAGAAAACCTTCATGTCGTGTGTTTATGTTGAAAAATCAGCTGATTGATCGGCTTCAGATATCCAGTATTGATCAGACTATAGTCACACAGCACACACCAGCAGCAGGTATCCAGGCTTCCACACCTTGACCTCGTATGTCACAGTCCCACCTTTAACCAGAGCAAGAATCTGGTCTAATAAAACATGTTATTAATATTATTACTATTTTTTTTAATTATTGTATTTTTGATGAACCTGCTTGCTTCTACTTTTTTCCCGACGTTTGAACCTGTAGTTTTCTTCTTCCAGCCTGTTGAGTGTCACCTGCTGGAGCCAGGTGCAGCTGTGTCAGACAATCAGTGTGTGTGATGTCACAGGTCATATGACTACAGAATATTATGGATTAGAGTAAAATGTGAACACAGTAGAAACAGAGTTTATTTTTCTCTTATCAGTCCTGCACGGTGCAGCAGAGGATTATGGGTGTGTGTGTGTGTGTGTGTTTGTGTGTGTGTGTGTGTGTGTGTGTGTGTGTGTGTG